TTTGCCAGAGTAGGCTGCTCAAGTCCAGTAACAGACGCTCCCCGTTGCGTCACTCCAGGAACATTCTTAACAGTTCCAACACATCTGCTACGGTTGGCTTTTTAGACCAACCTCCATAGCAGATGAGATCAGGGGGCCACATGACACATCTTGCATAGACATGTCAAATGATGTACTTTATGTACCAAAGTAACCTACTGCCCAGAAGCTTGATCCCAACTTGACATTGTAGCCGATTGGGACCTTGTATTGTGACTGTGAACCCTAGTTTATGCTAGCTGTTCACAAGCAGCAACACATAACTGCATAGTGCAGCCTAAGCGTGTTGACTGAGTTATAATCTCAACCTCTCTATTTTGAGGTTCATTTGGTCTCTTTGGTGATGCATGCCCAGAATTGGGCCCAGCTGAAGCCATATGCCGCTTAACTGTGTTATTGCATGGCATGCCTCTGTTATAATCAGCCTAGAGAATGTAATATTATTCATTCAATGAATGTCACAGACTAATTTTAATTAGCATCTTTTTTTTGTATGTCATATATATAAATGTATATATAAATGTATATATATATATATATATATATATATAATAAATATTTGTGCATATAAATTGGTGTAAATTAATATTATCATTATTATTAGTGTAACTGGGCAGACTGTAAATCCATGTGAAGCACTCGTGGCTCCCAACAAGCAACCTTTCCCAAAATAGAGACAAGGTTAATGGCCAAAGGCCGATCACTTCCCTTTGTGGGACACCAGAACCCAGCCAGAATATGCTGGCTAGTGTAGAATCACCAGGTAGAAACCCAACCAAAGGGCCTACCAGTTACATTGGACATCAAAATGCCCCAAACTTCCCTTTACGGGACATAGAAGCCAAGCTAACACCCCTTGGCAAGCGTGGCAACTGTGTGAGTGTGTGGTATTATTATTATTGTTGTTGTTGTTGTTGTTGTTGTTGTAATTATAATATTATTATTTATTGTTATGGTTCATGGGACAGCACAGATATCCAGGATACCATGCAGACTGCTGCCCAACCTGGCCAAGCCTCCAAAGGCCCCCAGCTTATACTATGTTTTATTAAAAACTACAGTTCCCATGATTACCTAGTACTGAGCCAGAGCAGTTAAAGTGGACTCCATTTGCACTATTTCTGGCAGTCTGCAAAGGCCCTATGACTTGCCCAAGATCACCCAGTTGTTTATATGGCTAAACCTGGGTTTGAACCCTGGTCTCCAGAGTCATAGTCAAATGCTCAAACCACTACACCACACTGACTCTGGTCCCTTTTTATATATATATATATAATTAAACAATTTAAGGGCTCCCTGTGACAATCAGCGCCCTCAAACTTTAGCCTTTATCGGCTTTTGTTTATAGCCTCCAAAGGCCTCCTGCTTATATATATTCTATTCTATTCTATTCTATTCTATTCTATTCTATTCTATTCTATTCTATTCTATTAATGGTTTATGGCACAGCAGCCACACCCATGATATCAGGCAGATTATATCCCATCTGTCATTTTAGGCCTCCAAAGGCTTCCTGCTTGCACCTTGCAAGCCTTTTTTTTT